TCTGAAATCTTCAGTTTTGAGTCTTTTTTTATCATTGAGTTGATTAATCAGTTGATGAGTCAGTTACAGGCAGTAAGTTTTAAAATTTTTCTATATCAAAACTAAGGCATATGTGATACTAAAAGTATATATTATATTTATATAGTGCTTTCAACTTTTCAAGTTTTTTTTTTCATCTATTATTCTGGTGATTCTACAACTCTGCAAAGACACGATATGCTTTTGTAACTTTCCATTTGATAATGGTGGAAAGCTGATATATAAAATGTCTAAATGGCTTACTCAGGATCACAATACAAATGATTAACTGAGCTTTATTAACACTTTGGTGTTCTGACAATTGACACTGATGCCAAATAACTTGGTTCAAAACACACACTGAATCTGTGGTCATTTTAAAAATAATGGAGGAAGTAATCAGGAAGTCAGAAAAGAATGAAATAAAACAAAGTCTAACAGAGGTCTGACATATAAGTCACTTAAATAGTTAATGGGTGACTGGATGGTTGGATGGGTGGTGAGCAAATGAGTGAAACAAATGTTGCAAAGAAATCAAATAGTTTTCTAGGGAGACAACATAAAGGTGGTAGAATGAGAATATTATCCACCCGTGCTGGTTCTGCCCCTGTCACTATGGCTAAATGTTTTACCTCTCTGAACTGTCACTGTTGACACCTTGAGAGCACTAACTATTTCCCAGCTATTGAGGTTAGGTGCCTATGCTCAAAACACCTTAGGACATAGAGGGGGGGAAATAACTTCAGGTTATTTCAGTAATTATTAGTAAAATCTAGTCAAGAAAAAATGAATTGATACATCATTTCAGGCAGAGCAGATGTCAGATGTAAAAAATAGGTAAACCCAAGCAGAAATGGTGAAAATTATAAATGGTTTGGAATGACTTAAACAGTAAGTAAATCAGCAAGTGCCACTTGAGCTGATGGCAGGTCACGGGAAGCATTGTATTGTTCAGTGTTGGGAAAACGGGAGGCACCTGTTTAGCCACCTGTGACTGAGGGGGTGCATTTTATCAATAGCTTTTGCCTTAGCCCAAGTTTCTTAGGAAACCGAGTTGAAGCAATGACTAAGTACTGGTACTTTATTGGGAGGGACACTCAGGCATGAACATGAAAGGGCAAGAACATGAGGTAGGGAAGACTAGCAAGCTATGTAAGATGATATTTTACTGGATGATTTCACTCAAATAGGAACTCAAAGAAAAAATGACAATAATCAACCAAAACAAAGCCTTGTCTTTCTATAGTCTAACTAGAGTGATCCTTTGTTTAGGAAATAGCAATACAGGTAAGCCAAACACAGGTGAAACTTCCAGTCCATTTTTTGGTCTCAGAATATCAAGCACTCTTGTGTAACTTAGAAACAAAATATACTTCTCTTAGTTCTGGAAGTTGGGAAATCCAAAATGAGGGTAACTGTAGATTCACTGTCAGTGAGGAGTCTTTTTATACTCATTGGCACCCATCTTTCCTGAGTCCTCACACATTGGAAGAGGCAAGGGACTTTTCTACTGCACTAGAATCCCAGTCATGAGGGCTTTGCCTTATAACTTAAACCCCTCAGTTCTCAATCCCATCATATTGGAATTGAACTTGGGGTGCACACAAAAAAAACTATAACATTGCAGTTAGTACTGAATTCACTTTTTATTAGCTTATATTTCAAAATACCATCTTTGTACATATTCTAAAGCAAAAAGGGTAACAGAGACACTTTCTCCACCAAATTCTAGCAATAATTTGCTTTTATACCCACTTAACACAGAAATTTGTGTTTTTGTAATACTAACTTTATCTTTAAGTTAGAAAGACAATTTTTTAGTTATCAGGCAAAGAAGAGTTTTTAGATGAAAAGCAGATTTGAATAACCTCGACTAGAAAAAAGAATTTTGAAGTCAAAATGTTCTCTTTATATTTATATTTATTTATATAAATAATATTTGTGAAAACTTATTAAAAATTTTAGCTTACAACACTGTAAAACAGACGTTTTATATACTACAAATATTAAAATCAAAATTCTGAAGCATTAACTGGAAGACAGGACTTGAGATTCTTCTACAAGTGCACGTGGTATTGAAAAGCTAGTTGCATCAGAAGAGTATAACCCTCTTTATATATTTATAATGTAAATTTGTTTTATTATTTTTAAAATTCAATTTCTTACTCTTTCAGTTTGTCATCTTTTAAATCAATAGTGGATATTATTTTCCTTACTTTTCAATTTTTCTGATGAGAGTGAGTCCAGATGTTGCCCAGCTGGAGAAACAATACCAGCTATCTGCACTTCCTTCTATGGTGCACAACTGAGTAGTAGACTGGTCAAAGGAAAACCTAGATCATGGGTTCTGTAATCCCAAGTTCAGATCTTGACTCTGCTAATAACTAATTGATATCTCTATTAATTCATGTAACTTCTTTGACCCTCAGTTTTCTCATTATTCAAATTAAGCAGGTTACAAGATTCACAAACCCCTATGCTTATTGGAACAAGGTACAGAAATGAAATGTTGAGTTATAAATAATAGTATGAGGGATGGTAACTAAGTCAGGGGATATTTTGCCCAGTTTTTAAAATTACTTAAATTCAAAACTTCTCTGAGTACTATAAACAAGCCAAAAGATCCATGTACCAGATTTGATCGAAAAATTACCAGCTTATAATTCTTAAACCTGATGTTCTTTAAAGCGTGGTCATCAAATGCCTTTATAAGTGAGGAACACATGAAGATGACCAGTGCTGAGTAGTAGTAAGCATGGGAGAAAATCCTCTAAAAGATCTCTATGTATTTTATTGATTTAAATGATGAAGTATCATATAAGTATATAAAGGACTAGAATGAGGATTGCATGATCTTGTTCAGTGAAAGAATATCTTTATTAAACCATACGTACCATCTGAATTATAATCTCTGTTCAGTTCTCTAGTGTGGTACTCCTAATCCGTGTCAAAGATTCATTCACCTTCAACAAACCACAGCCTGGACACTGTGGCTAATGCCAAAAGATCTGTGGGAAATCATATTCATGTTCTTTTTTTTTTTTGATTGAACAACATATCTGATTGGTTATTTTTCACTACATCTTTTAACCCCTCAATTTGTTCCAGGTATTATTTACAAGAATTTAATCCCAATTAGAATATTAAATAAGGCATTTGACATTATTACTATTTTTTAAAATATTTATTTATGCACACAGAGCTGGGGTACAGGCCAGAGGTGTGGGGTTGGTGAGAGGATTGACCAGAGACAGAGCGGATAGCAGAACAGGCAGATCGACGAAATACACTGCTGAGGGGAGCAGCAGGCAGATCAGGAGAGGTCTGCCACTCCATGTGGGTCACCTCCGGGGCAGGGAATTGAACTTGCACTGAGATGGCTGTGGCCAGCTTGCAGTGCAGTGTTCTAACCCATTGTGCCACCAGGAAGGGCCCCACATTATTTTTTTAATCCTTTCGATTTTAAGGAAACAACTTGAAAATAGTGGATGTTGTGTTTACACAAACCTCAAGGGTTTTTGATACACATTCAAACTACAGGACGTTGTTTGGCACACTTGGGACACATTCTGATTTCTTGCTCTCTCAATAGTCAGCATTTAGCACTCAGAGATTTTCTGTCACTGATCAGGACAAATCTTCCCTTTCATTTTGTGCATCTGTCAACATAGTCCTCTTCCTCCCAACTGTCTAGCTCTGGCCATCTCTTATGTTAAGAGGCAAAAATAAAAGGTGAATGTCACAAGATGCTGTGTGTCTATAATTGCTCACACAAAAGAGATATTGAAACCCAACTATTAGTTTTGAGGCCCTTTTCCTAGGAGTTAATTAAAAAGCAAAAACAATAAACAAGAAATAGAGTGAAGAATAAAAAGGAGAAAAATTTAATCTTTTTTTTCTTTTTGCTGGCTAGTCACCCACTTATGCTATGTTATCCCATTTATTCTTGTAATTGGCTATTTTCTGTTTGAAATGTCTCCTACTCATGTCTTCCCCTTTTTTTTCAGTTTATGGGCCTTGTGGCCACCACATTATCTTTCTTTTCCAAATCACTTGACATATTTATGTAGAATTTGCAGTGTTTGGTTTAGAGCATGGCATTGAGATCATGAAGTGCCATGCAGTGGAAACCTGCAGGGTGCATTCGGGAACATAACAGAGGAGTACCTGTTTTTAGGGAACCTGTTCTTTGTTTAGATGTATGCAGTGCTCTATGAACACATAGACATCATTTTAAAAATGTAAAACTTACGGCGTCACCATAGTACCTATTTCTATTTACTACTTAATGACATTAAGAGTAAGGGAGGGCCTTCCCTGGTGGTGCAACGGGTTAGGACACACACACAGCAAGCTGGCTGCAGCCGCTTCAGTGCAAGTTCTATCCCCCGCCTAGGAGGTGATCCACGTGGCACGCAGACCTCTCCTGACCAGCCTGCTGCTCCCCTCAGCAGGGTGCTTCATCAGTCTGCCTGTTCTGCTCCCCACTCTGTCTCTGGTGAATCCTCTCTGCATCTCTGGCCTGTACCCCAATTCTGTATGAATGAATAAATAAATCTTTAAAAAAAAAAAGAGTAAGGGGAAATTTTCTTGTTTTAAAAGTACCTCAAAAGTTAGAGTCTCTATAGTTTGTCTCCAGACTACTCAAGTTAGTAGTTCTGTAAGCACAAGCCATTGGCCAGACCACTGGGAGATGGGTCGTCCACATCAGTTTAGGATGTGGCAACAATGGGAGGTAATCAAATCAGATAAGCACTGTTTTGTGTATCTGACAGGAAATAAACAACTAAAATTTAAGATAATCATCATCTGAATTTTGTAGTCAGCTGACATGAAAGGCATATTTTTCCAATGATCTAAATAATATTTGTATTGATTCATTTTTCAAATAGTTCTCAGAAGCCTGTAATTCCACTGTTATATGTGTCCTCAGACAAACAAACAAGAAAAGCCACTTGCTAATTGAAAACATTTATTTGTAGGTGTCAGGTTGACCTGTCCGTCCTCAGCAGGGAACAGACACACAAGCTGGAGTTGCAGCTGGAAGAGGGTGAAGGCCACCTGGTACTATTGGTCACCCTGACAGCCTCAGCCACAGTCAGTATCTCTGATCTTTCCGTCAACTCCCTGGAAGACCAGAAAGAACGGGAGGAGATATTAAAGAGATATGTACGTATGTAGCCTTCTTCCTTCAGAATCATACGAGACTAGTTGAGATTACAAAAATTTACCTTGAATGACAGAATCTTCCTGAAAAGCTGTCTCATAGATAAATCAGCAGAAGCAGAAAGCTGGGCAAATGCAAATGCCATGGACCTTTGCAGAATCAGTTGTATTACCCCTGGTGTCTAGATTCCGGATCTTGTCTAGAGTCTTCCACAGCAAATTATAGATTCCAAGGGTCTATTCCTTGCTCTGATCCTGCAGCGAAATGATCATGCTAGGAAACTTCCCAGAAAGGAAAGTCAAGTTTATATGACATAACTTTAGAATGTGTTCTTCGACTCTGTAATTGCAGTGAGGTTTTCTTTATTTTCCAAGTTTGAAATGGAGTTAATGGTATTTATATTAAATTAGTAGCTTGGTATCTACAGTATACGCAGCAATCATTTTTAACCATTCCAGTTGCTTAAAAATGTATCATTTCAGTCCCCTAATGTTTTTCAATTGAATGTGAATAGGATTAAAAGAGAGTGTCCTAACCTTTTGATCGAGCATACGATGATAGGGTAGAATGGTGAACCACTGAAGTAACTACGCGTCTCAGATTTTACCAAACCAAAACATTCACAACCAGATCTACCTGTTCCTGGCATCCTTTTACTACCTTTGCTCACCATGCAGTTTTTTTGAATCAACAGAGAGGGGAGCTCTTACTCCACTGTTCTCTCTCAATGGCGGTCAGAAAAAGTAAATGCCTCAGTACCCATGAAACTGGGGTGAAAAAAAGCTTTTCCACTTAAAATTACAAAGATCGTATTGTACAATGCTGCCAGGTGTTTTGGAGGCTCAGCCATGAAACCAAGCTCTGAGTAACAAAGAACCGCTTAATTTTTTTTTTTTTTAGATTTTAAAATATTCCTATTTGCTGACTGACATCCTTTCAATAACTGAATTTAATAAAGATGTACCTTATCAGCCTGTGCAGATAACATGAAGTGCTGGTACTAATGCTCTACAATATTCTTCAAACAGATTAGCAGGATGTGCGCTTCAGCAAATTTATTCTGGCTATCTCCACTGAATCAGCTGTCTGCTAATGCTTGTAAAACTCCTCCACCAATGGTGTTATCATAAACAGTTTAATAGAGGTGACTTAGCAAGGCTAAATAGTGTATATTTTTAAACTACCTAAGAGCCTATGGTGTTTGGTGGCATCTTCTGCTATATAATTGCAGTTACAAATACTATTTCACAATTTGGTACCCACCAAAACTTACTCTTCCCTTACCAGCAGTGAACCTCACAAATTAAAACGATTTTAAAGGAATTAATTGGCATAGTAATATAGAAATTATTCTAGGTAATATGATACTGTATTTGATGGATTAATATTTTGACATGATCCCATATATTAGAATGATACTGCAAGCTAGGTAATTAGAAATAATCCAACTTTTATTGATTTTTTTTTCTTTTGCTGGATGGGATTCCTTAAATCAGCCTCTTTTATTCAGGATTTGAATATTTGCTTCCATGACCTTCTTTCAGATGTTAGTTATTTCAATGAAATGTAAAATGGTATGTATATGTCTCAGTTAATTCTCAGATTATATTGTGCCCAGTATATTAAAAAGCAACCTGTGCTTTAATATAATTCTTTTTAAGCCCTGAATTTCAAGCATTGGTCTGTATCTCTTCTAGGGACATATTGCTAAGCAGCTACTGTATGCAATATAGCACATATGTTATAATTACTCAAACAAAACAGGGACAAAGACCTGTATTTTAGACGGTTGTGTTTCTTTTTTATTATACAGGTTATGAAATGAATGAATGCTCTCTCATGCCTGAAATGCCACTTGTCTTGAGAAACACATAAAGGATGTTATTTGGAGAATTATATTGCCTTATAAGAGCATGTGTATTTTTTTAAAGTTTAGGTTAAACTTAAGAATTTGATTTGGCACTGGTAGTGGCAAGAAAAGTAAATGAACTGTCCCACTTACATATGAAACAAGCCTGAAAAAGCTCTCCCTTGCTGTCATTCAGCTGTTCGTTATTGAGCATTGAAGCCCCACAAATTAAACAGACATTACTGTGTGAACCATTATTTGATCACCACATTTTGAAAAGATGGCTAATTCCATTTTTTCTCCACCCGCCCCCCTTTTGGGGGCAGGAAAGCAAGGAAGGTCAATAGGGAAGGGTAGTAATGGGTAGTAGACCAAGAGCGATTGTGTGACCTTTTCAGAACGGGTATGCTGAACCCTTGCTCCCCCTTGTCACAGTTTAAAAACCAGAGAAGCTAGTTTAGAGAAGAAGTTGTTAGCATTCCATTTTTATTATGACATTTCACAGTCATCTGATTTAATGTCCCTTGACCGGATTGTCCACCGTGAGACGATGGGCTTGAAATGTTATTTAGAGCATTGATAAAAGGTGAGCGGTTCTAAGATGACAGCGAGTCATAAGGCTGGTGGTGTGACATTAATTTTCTCCATAACAGAGATGGAATAAGACGTCACGGTGACAAGCTGTCAATCAGCTCCGGCCCCTCAGAGCATCTCGATGCCATAGGATGGGGTATCGCCTCTCCCGTAATAGAGCTGAACTGAGATGCTCTCCCTGACAGCTGCTGCAGCCATAGAGAAAATATATTATACAGCCTTTCATTAAAAAAATAAAGAGGACTCCTCTCCAGAGCATTTCAATCTTTTCCCATCTATTGAGGGCTGAAAGGATTCACAGCAAATCATAGATTCCTCTGCTATGGAAATTTCTGGCTTCAGAAGCCATCCAGGTTTTGAGGCCTTCTAAAATAACCATAAATAACAAGGCAGGAATACCTCTTGATGAAGCAGTTATATATTTAAACGGATATATTTAAGTCCTTTGCCTTTTTGGGGGGCGGGGGGAGTTCTTATTATAATCGATGTTATTACTGGTCTAAACAGTTAAAATTGGCAATAAATTACTGAGTGTCAGCCGACTGGAGAAGAGTAAACCTTCGCAATAATTGCCCGCTCCAGATGGGAAGGCAAACACCCTCGCTAAAGCTCCGAAGTGTGTGTTTGAACCAGGAGGTGGCCAGCAGGAGACGACCCAGACTGGATGGCATTTGTTCTAGTTACAAAGCAACTTGCTATAAAGTGCTCCTGAAAATTAAAGGACAGGAACCTTTCGATAAAACTCTTGTTCTTCATTAAGATAGGAGACTGAACTTAGTTTATAGCACTGGGTTAGATAAGATCATTATTACATTAGAAAGACAGCATGTCTACAAACCTCTGTGTTACAGACTGTTGCCTAAAGTGTACACTGTTCAACTCTTAATTTACAGGCATCTAAATGCAAAGAGAAGTGCACTTTTACTGAACCCTGTCAGGGGTAGTTTGAATAGATTTCTGATGATAAACAACTGTTTTAAAACAATAAAAGATTAAGAGCTAATCCTTGTGCTAAACACTGTTTTTAAAAAGTTAGGCTATGAGATTACACACATTTCTGCATTTCCTCATCTCAGACTACCAAGGTCATAGCTCCAGTGTCAGCAGTGAGTAGGCATATGGGACTGATAAAAGTAATACCACAGTAAGCTTTGGCTTATTGCTATTCTCACATTCTGAACGCAAGGTTTTTTTTTTAGCAACATTTTAATAGAAATTTCATTGGTCAAAATTATCACATGCTCCTTAGTTTTAAGCATTTTGAAGTTTATGATAAAGCAGAACCTTTCATTTACTGAGGAGAAATGCTGACCTTTCATAAAAATGTTATGAATTATAAATAAACAATTGTTTATTTTATAAGTTCATTTTTCCTAAGTATTTCTGCCAAGTAATTAGATGTATTGACTAATTGTATTGGTATCCCTCTTTTAATTATACTAAGCTTGTTAGCATACTACTATTATTAACAAAATTAGGGTTCCTCATTTTGATTGTGCTCTTCTAACAAAATTCCAAACTTCTGCTTCTGTACAGACTAGAGTGACAAAGCTAGAAGCTAAGAAAAATTTCTCATTTTTTTAGTGATTATTTCTATTGATGTTAGAAGATAATATGTTATCTTCTTTTAGATCTTTTACCTAAAAGGCTTATAGAACTATAGAAATCTCTTGAATTAATATTAGAAAATAATATTTCAAAAATTTAATCCTCATCTCAAATGACACATATAATTTCCAAAACTCACCACGAAATATATATAGTAGGAAAATAATTAACTTAAAATCAACATTCTTATTCCCAAATCTGGGGAGCGTTACATAACCTACATATTAAGACTCACAAGCTTCCCACCATCAGACCCATAGATGAAAAATTTATTGGAGTGCTTGGTAAAGAAAACTGAAGAAGAAACAAACATATGCTACTCTATAGTAGATAGTTCTCAATCTCCTGATAACTATTTATGAGGAAGAAATGTGGTAATTTTATTTTTTCAAAATATCATACACTGTGTTGTAAACCGAATTAACTCAATAAAAAATAAACCTTAAAAAGCTTGATATTTATATTGTAACAATTATCTACATAAGTATATATAAGTATATACATGCATGGGGATGCATGCATGTTTATGTGTTTATATGTGTATCACTATGGTAGAAGGGTAGTCTATGTAGAAAAAACATATTTTTGACTCACTTAAGCAGTACCCTGAGATCAACCATAATTTAATGTTTTCTCAATGCTTTCTTTAAGATTCTTTCAGGCCTTTCTTTTCTAATACTGATGTTGGGATCTTTCAGAGTCCCTTGAGGATATTTCACAACCTAAAAGACGTAGGATTCCTCCAGGTGAAAGTAATCAGAGCAGAAGGGTTAATGGCTGCTGATGTCACAGGTAAGAAATGATACAATTCCTCCAGGTTTGTGTATACTTATTGAGCAGCATGCTAGGTCTATCCTACTCAAAGTTTGAACTCTCATTTGACCTGAATGAATCCTCAAAATAAATGTGTTTTCATTTTTTTCATTTTTCATTTCACTTTATTTTTGATAATAGTAGAGTACATTAATATCTAATTTTCCAAGGTAAGAGAACTAAGACTGTTTCCAAAAGACTTCAGATTATGTTTGATGGTATTAAGATTTACCAACCACCTGACTTTTACACTATTTTTTAAATGGAGTGTAAGTATTAAATATAACCAATAAAAGACAAAATAACTCTTGATTTATCGCCTTCTCTAATATTTAATCAACCTAGGGGGAATATTACTTCCAGGTTTCATAACTTGGGGTAATGCTCTCTCATTTTCTCCCAGATAATATTGGCTGTGATCAGGTTATATCCAAAGATTCAATACTTATAATTCAAATACACATGAACTCTTGCATAGTTCACTGAAAAGTTTAAATGAATAATAATAAGTTTCAATTCTTATTGTCCAAACTTCTTAGCACACCCCAGACATAATTCTGGATCCAAATGAAACATCTAGAGTATTCTAAGTTTTTTTTAACAGAGAAATAGAAATGCCAAAATTAGTCTGTCTCTTAACATTTCCTGATTGGATATTGCTTCTCTGACATATTAATAAATTGGATGATGGTCATTATTTTATCTATTTCCAGAACAATTAAATCATTGTTTTGAAATGCAGCTATATGACAATTCATTTATTGCTTAATTTCATAGAAATGGTGGTGGGGGGAGTTTATCATTCCTTAAATTATCCATCTAAATATGGGTGATAAATAGGATGGACCAATTTTTGTGCAAATTTTACCACACATGCTAGTATATACTTATTATTTATGAATTATACTTACCATTGCAAATGTTGAGAAAATTAACCTTAACAAGGTAGCTGATTTATTTCAAGAAGAAAAATGTACTTTTCCTACTCTGTAAAAGCTTGCTCCCTGTGTTCTTATTTAATTCATTGAACAGAATCAAAAGATGACAAATTAAAAGATGACATTCCTTAAATCTAAAATAGCAGATATTTGTTCCAAAATGACAATATTTTAAAAATTGTAATATTTTCATAGCATCAAGTGACTATTGTGTGATAAAAATAAAAATGTTGAGAGTTTACAATTTCTTTACAGAGGTAATTACCAACTATTTGTAACTAGGAAGATACTAAAAACTGTCAAACATTCTTTCAAAATAGGCATTCCTGAAAATAGTAGGAGAAAGGATAATAATATTTTTTCTTACATAGTGGGTTGGGTTCTGGTACTAAATCAATGACTATCATACTCATTCATTTTCTTTCTTTCTTTTTTTTTTTTTCTGGGATGGTCATAATCAAATTACTTTGGGCACAGTCTTTTTTTTTTTTTTTTTTTTTTTTTTTTTTGTGATGCTGCATTTATTGTTAGAACCAGCAACCAACAAACCAGCAATGAAGGACTGACTACTGTTCTTTTTGTGTTCGTGTTGGACACTGACTTAAAGACAGGAATAGGAAAGGAAGCCAGAATTGCTTTTACAGTGCAGAGTTTATTCCTGGCCTCTGACTCCCAGCAGCGGTAAATTCAGAGGTTCATGGCTGTGACATTCACCATCATGGGAGACGCCTTTCCTTTTCTTCAGGATTTTCTGTATAGGAATGCTGAGCAGTAAACACCTGAAATTGGAAGAAAAGCCTAAAATAATCAGTATCTTTGAGGGCAGCAGGTGCTAAGAAACATCACTGGATATTTATAGTAGGTCACAGTAATTTTTAGGGAAATGTTTTAAGTCCCATTTATTTTATAAGCTTGGATACCTGCCATTACACAAGTTGCTTGCGATTATGTAAGTTTGTCTTTTTTGGTGAGAAGCTGTCATTGCTTTTACAACTTCATGAATATGCAAACGGTGATCACCCAGTTGGCCACTGTGCCACAGTGGAAGTTAAAGTACATATTCTTTCAACATTGGGCAAAATAGATTTATTTCTTTCCTAATGGTTCTATGTAAATGAATGTGAATAACAATAGCCTGTTTCACAGGGAGTCAATGAGACATAATTTTGACTTGATAAAATGAACTTTAATTTACAGAATACTAAATAACAGATTCTTCATTTTTCCCTTCTAGTTTTAGGGATATAAATCTAATGATTCCTCATTGCACACTGACCTTATAATCTAATGTGCTCTGAATTGAACAAGAGAGATGTTGAACTATTCAGGGGCAAGAGGATAATTCAGTGTTTGACCTTGCTCACTCTTGGACTTCTTGTGGTCTTTATGACATTTGTGATAGTGGCAGAAACTGAGGATCACATATTTAAGTCAGAAATGTCTGAATATACTACAATTTTTTAAAAGGCTTTACTTCTGGAAAGGGTAAATAAGTTGTATATTTATCCTGATCCTGCCTCATCATTATTCTTAAAATTGGGGCACAACTAATCTTTTTGTGTACTTTATCTCATGTTCAAAGAAGGACTTTAAAAATAAGTTACACATCTCTGGATAATCATAGCCAGACTCTACAAGCTATTAAGCAACAGATTGAAAAATGGGAATTGAGTAAATAGTGCTGTCTTCAGATCCTCAAATTAGCATCCACTTAGGAGTATTGTGGATGGAGAAGGGAGATTTTAATCACTGATAACTCTCTGCTAAGAAGAGTATTTTCTGAACTGGCATAAACAAGACTATTACTCTAAGATGTTAGACAAGTCTATCAAGACAAAATCATACCTAACCAAATTTGCTCTATTTTTAATGTTCTGAACATAAGGTTAAAGTTCCATAGTTTAAGCAAATTTTTTAAATGATAATATTCCATCATTGAGCATGAGCACAGGAAAGATTCTATAATCTTTTAAGTAGCCATCAATCTTACTGCAGTTACAAAGAATTTTTTCCTTTCAAAATGTAAAATTTTTCTTTTGTTACAACACATTCATTGAGAAACATTGTGATACTGTATTAACTCTGTGTGAATAAAGAGCAATTGAGACTCTTTGAATGAGCGAGTGTAAAGCACAAATTACTTTTTAATGAAACCCTCAATTCTTTCCCTTTCCACAAAAAGCCTATAGCCTTGTTCAGCTGAACACTACTACAGTAGGTCACTTCAGTTAAGCCCCTAATAAACTGTTGATAGTCGAGGGTAGTTTTTTCTTCAGTCTCAATAGCCCAGTGTTGGACAGTGCACTTCAAATCATTAAGGTTAATACAGATTTAAAAAAGAGATTAACTCTGGTGGTTAAGGCCTCAATTTACAACTCCCACACATACACATGCATTGAGCAAGGCACAAGAGTGGATTGAAATTTCAGTCAAAATGTGGGCAGCCTTTCACAGCCTGAGAAAGTAGCACTCTGGTTTTAAAAGTTAGTCGGTTAAATTCTTCCTGACAGAAAAAGTTTGATGAACTGAAAAATACTGCTCAATACAACTTACTTACCTTTCAGCTAACCAGTGAAAAGGTTAATGTCTCTCTGCACCATCAAAGCAAATCCTAGATACTGACTGGCTCTGTGTTCACTAGGGGAGATTCTCCCTACTGCTAAATCAAGTGTTCCTTAAAACTGGTCAGATTGTGAGGAGAGAAAGGCCAATGAGGGGGATTTTTTTTTCCTTCTCTGTGGTGGTGGGAAAGCGTTCATGTTGGAATTTGTCTTTTCTAGCTTTTAATTATTCTTTTCCTTGGACAAGGCCTAATTTCTGCTTTCAGCAGAACATTTAAAGTCTTCTATATTGAGTGAGGCTTTCTTCACAGAGTATTTAGACCTGGCCTATTGGTTCTTTCAAGTTCTAAAAGAAGAAAGAGAAAGGGTTCCTCTCCTCAGCCCCTCCCCTTCATTTTCCCCTGGGTTGTTTTTTTTTTGAGCTCCCCAGGAAGAGGTCGCAGCCTTGCAGGGGATACCAGCCACTCAGTTTCAGAAACAGTGATATAGGAGAACTGTGAAACCCTTTCAAAAGATGCCCTACCTTTTCACTCTATTAAAGGTACACTAATATAAAACTTCTCCACCTCAGGTGAATTGATGTCTCAAATTAATGCACCATCTCTTTTAGGAAACAATAGAGGGAAGGAGAGAAAAAAGAAGAGAAAGAATTTTACAATTAACATAATCTGTCACTGAAATGCTCCCATTACATGAGCGGTATCTTTTTCTATAACAAGGCGTCACATAAAGGCTTTCCACTCACCAACCCCATAGTCTGGAAAGATAAGAGTTTTAAGAGACATGTTTACTACCCCTTTATTTGCATAGACTTTGCCCATGTTTTTCTTTAGGAAAACTGTCTTCTTTGTTGGAAAATATTTAAGTAACAAAACAGCAGAAAAAGACACGCTACAGTTTTTTTATCAGCTTCCGTGAGAGTCTTATTATCTTAAGAAATAACAGTTAGCAGCTCAGATTCATTAGCAGAGCTAAATTTAAGCTCCATTTGACAGGCTGCCTAGAAAACATTTTGTTTTGCTGTCTGTGGGCTTTAATTAAGATGTGTTCAATTTCAGTCCTCTTCAGTCTAGCCCCCCCACCCCCACCCCCAACTTGCTGTGTCACAGCCCGGCGATCAGACACTTTTAGATGGTCCAGCCCATGACTTTGACCTTCTGCGCAGTCCGGCGTTCCCTGGGGAACCGTTCAACTCATGAGGTCTGATTTCACACTTCCAGGATGCCTCAGCTCTCTTAACAATGACAGGGAGACAAAGCCCTTTAGAGCAGGCCGCATGGGGACTTGTTTAAATTGGAAACCAGAGAGGAGTCAAGGAACAAGGTTATGGGCTACAGAATAGTGCTTTTAATAAAGAGCTCACAGCTCTGGCTCAGCTCAAAGAGGTCTACCTCTGTACAATTAATTGAGCCATTTATCTGGAGCATCTTAGGCCTCTACTTTCTCACAGAATTGCGTGGTAAATATCAGCTCAGAAGCA